CATTTCTCATTATTCCTTTCAGTTTACATTTTTCACATCCGTTGTTAATCGTGCTTTCACTTTTGTAAGATTCACAGTATCGAATTCTCGCTTTTTACATTGTTATATACTTTACGTTGCATACAACATATTTTGATGCAACGCGAGAGTCCATTTTTCCTAAAATAATCAGGATTAAGAATTTACTTAATTAAACTATGGAGATAGAAGATCATATTTTTTATAATTTTCTAATTACATTTTACGTTCATAGCTATAATTTCTTTATGTATATTTATAATTATATTTTTATGAGTACAGTTCAAAGAATAGAATTCCTTTTATCTATAAATCCTCGAATACCGATCATGCAGCTTGCTTGCTGCTATAATTTTATTGTATATTCTTCGTCGACAAATAAGATATTAAAAAACAATAAAACAATGCTGAAAAATAATAATAGCAAAGTTTGTTATCTTTGTCGCAATGATTTGCTGTTCGATTTCGGCAATAAGCAATCGACTTAACAAAAGTTTACCAAATATTTTATATAATATCGTACAAATTTTTATTTTACATGCCTTCATATTTGTTTTATTATTGAACGACTATCCTTATTAAACAGAAATTAAATTAACAGCAATCTATTTATAAATTCTAACATATCTCACTGAATGTGAGGTTCAGTTTTATTTCAAAAGTTCCCTAAACACATCTTGCTCCAGTTTCATCAATAAAGCAATTTGACTAGAATATGCAATCTGACAAGAACGAATACTTAATAACATAATTATAAGGAGCTAGCAGCTCGGGATATTTCGACTTATTTCCCCATTCTAATCTCTCGATTCTTTCAGGATGAACTTCGATGGAAGAACGTGCGTGCTTCGAGCGCTGTGCGAGGCCTCGCAGCGTCTGATGCCCAAAGGAAGCACTCTCATCGAGGAGATGATGAGGATATCATTCTCGTAAGGTTCACCGAGGGCAAACGGAAAGAGAGTAAAAATGAAAAGGGGTTCTAGCGGATTCCAAGAGTCCCCTAACTCTCCATTTCCGATGTCTTTCTTTCTT